CCACCGCTGCAGACATGCTACTGTGCCCACCGCTGCAGACATGCTACGTGCCCACTGCCTGGGTCCTCACACAACCTCCTCCCTGTATGCCTGGGCAGGAAGAGGATGCCCACGTTCTGGGGTCTCTCCCCTTCTTTTTTTATCTGTTAATTTTTTAAACAGGGTCTCATCTTGTGTAGCCCAGGATGGCCTGGAACTCACAGTATAGTCAAGAATGACTTTGAACTTCTGGTCCCCCCTGCCCCCACCTCCCAAGTGCTACAATCATAGACATATGCCAGCATGCCTACCTTTTCCTCTATTAAAGAGATGATAAGGGTAGTGGACCAATCCTGCAAGACCCTATCACCATATACACTCAGAGTTTCAAGACATGACGTTTAGAATCACATCTCTGAGCCCACTGTGCTGGGCTGTCCCCAGCTCCTTAACCTCTCTCTATTGAGCCTGTTCCTCTGTGGACTAGCGATGGCTGCAGCATCCACTCAGGGGTCTGTTACAAGGATCAGATGACTCATGCATGCAAGACAGAGCTCATCTCCCAGGGATCAAGCCACAGTCTGAGTGGTCACGGCCCAGGAATTGGATTCGAGTTTCCCTGGATGGCGTGTTCCACCATGGAAGTGGCTATAGGAACTTTCAAGAATGGAAGGCAGTTGGAAATCAGAGCTCAACCCAGCACACCGGTGGTACAGTGGCCAAATGAGTATCGGCCAAGCAGGGGAACTCTACAGTCCTCAGAGGCCATCTGATAATGCTCTTAGCTTTTGAGTTAGTAGAAGCTAGTGGCCTGCTAAGTTAATACAACCAAAACCGCTACCTAATAGCGGCAATGTTGTTTGGTCAACAAAGAGGCTGGCAATAATTGGCTATTATGGGGACCAAGATAATCCGAGATAGTTCAGGCTTTTAATCTGCAATAGTCCAACTCTTCACAATCATTCAGTTCTAGACAGGCAATCATTCTGTAGAATCTCCAGCCCAGATGTGGTGCCAGGGAACATTGGTTCACAGCAGCCAGTTCCCGGTTCACAGCAGCCAGTACACAGTTCCCAGTACACAGCAGCCAGTACCCGGTTCACAGCATTATTACTTGATTCGGTATTCAGATTATGATTCTATCAATGGCTTTCTCAGAGTAAGAATGCGGATACAGAATGTCTTTCCTTGGGCCATTTTAAAGACATGCATTTGGTTTGTTTCCGCATGGTGCAAATCAGCCACCACGGACCCCCGGGTTAGAAAAGGCGTGGTGTGCTTTGAAGGCCCTGGGAGAGCGCAGTGAGCATGGAAGGGACCCTGAGCCTGAGCATTAGCAGGGCTGACCACCTCAAGATAGATTCAGCTATGTCCACATCCTTGTGTTGATTACACTGCCCTGCTTCCCTCTGACACCAGGCTCAGCGAGTCACCAATGCCTTTCCCCGACAGTCTCAGCCCAGCACTGAGACGCCAGCTGTGTACAACTTTATGGGCTGTGCTGACTGGGAGCAGCTCTTCCTGAGATGGGCAGGAGGGAAGCGGGAAAAGCAAATGGCCTGTCACAAAGCCTGGTCCGTGAAGCAGACAGCAAGGCGTCTGTGACGAGCCCTCTTCATTGTGAAATGTCAGCAATGTGGATCTATTTTATGTTATCCAGAAGTGAAGCGGTCTATTCTACTGCGATCTTGTTCGCTAGGCAGATTTGAAGCATTATCTGTGTGCTGCTGACACCTCTGGCTGTGCCCCAGGGGCTGTCTCAGGATGGCTTTTATCACGTCGCTAGTCTACACGCAGACCTCTCTCCCACCGTAACTTGTCACTGGATCTAGCCTCACCTGTTAAATTTAAATTGTGCAGGGTCTACCCCAGTGTTTGACCATGGACTCCTTAGCTACATGTCTGTGTGGTTTTATGGCTCTGAGATGGAGTGAGCTTATACTGCTCATCCGTGTGGTTTTATCTGGAAATTAAGTGGATGCCCAAAGACAGCCTGCTTCCACATACTTCTCTAAAACACTTGGGAGACCCACTAGGGACTCAGAGAAGTTCTCAGCAAAGAAACTGTAAGATTAAATAATATTTAGAAAAATGAGGCAGGAGCGTTGGTTTAGTCTATAAAGTGCTTCTTGCACAAGCGTGAGGACTGAATTCAGTCCCCAGCAATCACATGAGAAATAAGATAAAAATTCAGGCATGGCGGTGCATGTCTGCAGTCCCCATGTAGGGGAAGCGGACAGGTGGATCCCTGAGGATTGCTGGCAGTCAGTCTAGCCAAACTGGTGAGCTCCAGGCTTGGTGAGAAACCCTGCCTCGTAAAGTAAGGTGGAAGCGCGGTACTTTCAATCCTCCCTCTCCCGCGCAACTCCTACCGTGCTCCCACCCCTCTCAAATCCTTACCTCTTTAATTACAACTGTTGACATCCATGTATACACCTACATGTGGACTTCTTTTGCTGACTGTCTGTCTGATGTGAGAGTCTAGCCGGCCGTGTTGAGTGGAAGCGCGGTTGCTTTTGTTGTTTTCTCGTTTTTGTTGACCAGGTCCAGAGTTGATAGGCAGCATTGCGGATCCTCTGCCGACTTCCAGTTACAGGGACAGCGATGATCAAATTCAACCAGGGAAACCTGTGAATGTGGCTGGGTCTGCCTGGGCAGGTGTGACGGTTACACTATCAAGGCTGAGCCTTTCCAGGCTGTTAGGATGGCACAGACCACACACTTCTGAACGACTGTTACTGGGGAGATAAGCTATGGTATATATAATGAAGCAGAACTGTTACCAAATAATGTATGCTTCAGAAAATTATACTGTCAAAAAAATGCATTTCCTTCATAGTTCTCTACACCAGCATCTATTTCTTCTTGTGGATTTAAGTTATCACCCAGATTCCCTGTGTTTCCCTTCATAATCCCACGCAGTGCAAAGCTGCCAGCAATGACCCGTCTCCATTTGTGCTCACTGAATGTCTTCATTCCTCCTTCATTTTGTGAAGGATAGTTTTTGCTGGGTATAGAATTCTTGGTTACCAATCTCTCTTCTTTCAGTATTTTGAAAACTGTTTCCTCATTGCCTGTTCTGGAGTGTCCACCAGAGAAGAATGCTCAGTCATGGGTGTAATCCAATAGAAAATCTTCACTAGCCTGTTGGTGACTACAGCAGGACCCTAGTGGAGCACAGGCCTTTCACAGGGTGAGCTTTGTAAACACACAAACTCTACCCTGAGCCGACGTACTTCAGTTAACAAGAACAGTTAGCCAGAAGTGGAACTAGAGAAGCTAAAAAGCAAGGTTAGTACATTTAGAGACTTTCCCAGAACTATAAACTTAGATGGATTAGGTCTTTGTTTTCATTCTGTAAGGGTCTCTGAGTCTCGGGATATCAATGTCTATGGAGATGTGTGGATAGATTGTGTGTGGAGAGGATGCATTGCCACTGTGTGTGAGAGGCAGTCAAAAGACAGTTTTATGGAGTCAGTAATCTCCCACGTCTACATGGGATCTGGGGGGTTGAACTCAGTTTGCCAGTCTTAGAAAGTCCTAGAATTTCATGGCATGTGTCTACAATGTGAAAGATAGCACCCGAGATGTCACCCTCCTCTACAGGTCACCATGCAGTATAAATGTCTGCACACAGCAGCCCTGCTCAGGCCCCCGAGCCCCCCTGGCCTTGGAAGCCCATGTACACTAAAGCCTCTTCTCCTCTCCACAGGGATGACGTGCCAAGCTCGAAGCTCCTACATCACCAGTGAGATCTTGTGGGGTTACCGCTTCACCCCCGTCCTAACGCTGGAAGATGGGTTCTACGAAGTTGACTACAACAGCTTCCATGAGACCTACGAGACCAGCACCCCGTCCCTTAGTGCCAAAGAGCTGGCCGAGCTGGCTAACAGGGCAGAGCTGCCCCTGAGTTGGTCCGTGTCCAGCAAACTGAACCAACATGCAGAACTGGAGACAGAAGAGGAGGAGAAGAACCCGGAAGAACAAACGGAGAGGAATGGTGACGTGGCAAACCTAGAGAATGAATCCAAAGTGTAGGCCCTGCTGGGCCAGCCTTTCCCTCCCCTCAGACACAACCCTTCCTTGTCTCTCACGTCCCTCTTTTCTGTTTCTATCACTTTGATCTTGATTTATTTATATTTAATTTTGGCATTTCCAGAAAACAAATCTTCGAGGTGTAAAATGCCTACCTGCCCTCAGATGTTCAGATGGACGAGCAGACAGGGATTTGGTCGAGGGACAGGGTACCTGTATTTGTGGCCCAAGCCTGGTCTCCACCCTCAGGAGAGACTTATCCACTGACCCACTTAATTGTCCAACATATGTCACTAAAAGGAGCTGTCAAGGGTTTTACCCAGTGTCACAGAGGCCACCTGCTTACCGTGGCCATAGGTCACACAGAGTAGTCCCTTTGGTTTTACAGAGCCCAGTTCATCTCACCTAGCACAAGGCAGGTGCTTGCCCACTCAGACACTGTGGGTGCAGGACCCAGATAGCCAAGGATAGACCACTGTACATAGATCTGCCCTATGGAATTATTTTCTTTTGGCAATTAGTAACAACACTCAGCATGCACAACAGTACTGTGGAGCCGAATTCCTAATAATGTACATAGATGTATCCTTCATGTAGCTTGAGATATATAACTTTAGAAGTAAGAAGAAAAAAAAGACTCCTAATGTACAGTAGGTGTTTCTATTTTGTTATCTGTCTCTTTTGATTATTTTGATCCCCTTGACTGCCAGCCCTCTAAATGCATGGCCTTCGTTCCAGGTCCCAGGTTGACAGCTGCTGGGGTCCCGTTCTGTTCCCTTGTGATCCTTCTGTTGACTCTAATAAGCCATAGGTCTGAGAACAGTCCAGAGGTCTCGCAGATTGCAAGTCCCACCATCCAAAACGCTGAACTACCGTGGCACATTTACAAAATGGATGGTATTTGTTTATAGATGACAAAGGTCTCTCTGACCAGCCTGGGAGGGACTACCAGGAACAGGGACTAGCGCAGCCCCCCACGTGACACTCGCCATAAACCCTAGCCCTTTGGTGGACAGCAGTTTAAGAAAGCCTTCTGTAAAATCATTGACTGCTCTTCTATGTAGCCATGAGAAACTGCGGGCATTTCATGTGGGCTGTGACAAGTCAGCAGAAGGCGACTTGGGTGTGAAGCCATGGCTTTCAGGAAGTCATGCAGTGGGTGGCAATATTGCGTTACCAACTCCCTGCTCTCTGACGTCATCGGGCAAGCCTTTCCCTGGGGCCTGTCCTTGCCATTTCTTACTCTGGGTTCTTTTTAGTCTCCTCTCATCATTACTGTCGCTATTGTTATGAAATGGCCAGAGTCTGGCATACAAAGGTCCTTCCAGAGTACGAGAATATTCCACTACTTGCAATCTAATCCAAGGGCCTCTCAATCAAAAGAGCACAAGCAACAACCATCAAACCGTTCTCCCTAGCTTATTTTAATCTTCAGAGAAGGAGGGAATGAACAAACAAATGAAGGCAGGCAACATGCATAACAATCTAAATTCAAAATGAAATGGAAAGTGGACTGGAAAGACACTCTCGGATGAGGCGTCGGGGGCAGGTGGAGATTTTGCACCGTAACCGATCTTTCTCATTGATTTTACACCTATAAACTGTCCGTTCTCTAACATCATTGTACATCATAGATACGCATCGAAGGATCTAAATTTATTTCAGCTCCTGCAGATGTGCTCAGTTTGAGACTTTGCCCCACGGAGGTCAAAGAGGTCAAACTAGCTGCTCCCCAGTTCCCCTTTGCCACCCCGACCAGACTGTGCAGGGCTTTGCTGTAATCTGGGCTCCTTGTCTACAAGAGACAGGAATTATGGGAAGTGGTTTCTCCATTCAGCATTTGGGCTGCCCCTCTCCGTCTGCAGAGATCTTGCTACCCAAACAACTATTTCTTGCCTCTGACTCTGGAAAACAAAGCTATTGGCTGCAGCCCTTCCCCGCCTGCCAGCATTTCCCTTCGGCATTGGTTATTGATCAATCAAGTCATGCATTCTCTCTGCACACTCTAAGCTGGAGATGGTGGAGGAGGGAGTCTGTTTCCCAAGAGGCCTGGCCTTATCTTAGCCTTAGGAAAGATGCCCTGCTTTGGGGCACCGGCCTGCAGCAGCCCAGGGCAGGGCCTGTGTAGCACAAAGAAAGGTGGGGAAAGCTGCCAAATGTCTGCTGACTTAGCTCTTGAAGACTCATTGGCCTTTTTAAATCTATGACTGAAGTCTGAAGGGCAAAATCTCCCCTACTGATGGGCTGAAAGAGCAGCTTTGAAGTTGCCGGCTTCTCGCCTGCTCTTCAGGACACCTGGACAATAGGCCTGTGCACAGCCATGCTGTGACCTCAGCAGGACACTCTAATGGGAGGTCTCTCTCTGCCTCTCAGGGTCTTGATGTCACTGTGATTGGTGGCGCAAGAGGAGCAAAATCCTGTGTGTGACGTGAGCTCAGAATCCTTAAAGACGGGAGCTCCTGAAGGACCTTTTATTAGAATGTCCTTATCAAACGTGTCTATTTTTCTACACTCACCAAGAAAACGGTTTGACAGTGTATTTTGTGTCTACTGTTAAAATTTGAAAGAAGGTCATTACGACTGAATTTTCTAAGCAAGTAGTCAATGGGGTTTTTCATTAAGCTAATACAACAAAAGGGACCCCCAATGCCTCCCCTTTCTAAAGTCCACGATCCCCAGTCCCTCTCTCCGCCAGTAGATCAAGTGCTATGAAAATATACCAGGAACTAAGCGATCCACAACCAATAGAGAGCGCTCTCACTCTCTCTTTCTCTCTCCCTCCCTCCTCCCCTCCGATAGTTTGGACTAATTGGTTGGTGTCTCCAAGTCATTATTTCCCCATAAAGCACAGTGAGATCCATGGTCCAGATAAGACCCTGGAACTCAAGGGGGACATTTGTCACAATTGACCCCAATCCAACAGAGCAAAAGAGCTCCCTGAGGTTCGTCTGGAAGGGAGGGGTTGAGGAGATCCCCGCTGTCCTCCTCTACTGACCCCCCCTACCATTATCTTCCTAGGGAGAGTCCCTATTCATTTACAGATTGACTTTATGTAATCAATACAGCTGTTTGCTTCTGGCAGCCCCCTGGGCACATGGCTAACACATGCTAACACACGCTAACACATTAGAATCCGTTCATCCTTTTCAGGTCCTTCTGAACATCGTGTTAGGGTATGACTGTGACTCTAGCCATGAGGGGGAACCCCTCTTCCTCTACTCCCTTCCTCTTTGTCCCCCTGTTTTGTTCTCTCTCTATTCCAGATCTATTGATTTCATTTAGTACCTAACTTTCCCAGAACGTCGACCTGTTTCCTAAGCACAACTTTTCTCTTACAGGTTTAATCAACATAGGACTCTGACATGCCTGGGTTTATTTTTTTTCATTATACTTTAATTGAAATTTATTTGTGGCTCCGTTTTAAAGCCCAGATGGTCACAGTTTGCTTTTCTGCGTGAATGTAAGAGGGCACCTTTGGAGTATTTGGAGACGGGCTGACCAAGGTGTGCCGCAGGGAGAGCAAGGAAAACACACCAGATCCTTTAGCTGAGAGACACATGAAAACAGACAGACCACTCCCTACCCAGACAACTGGCCCAGAGTAGGCTGTTTCTTCCCTGTCTCTAGAAATGCTCTAAACAACCCAGAAGCCAAGAAGGTGGCTCCAAATGAAATGGCCCCCATTCATGACCAGCTAAGATGTCTCGTTCCTACGACTTCAGTTCAGCGGATAGCTGTAGAGTTGTAAAACATAAACCACATTGACAGGTTGATTGACATTACACAACAGCTGTAATATCATCTTGAGTTAGACTTTATATCCAGCCTGTATCTAAGAAAATGTCACCTTGCAATCCAGAGTGAAACCTTCCTCTTCCCGATATGTCTGCCTTCAGTGTCTCAGAGGGGACTTGTGGTTCAAAATGTCATGCAGAAGTCAAGACTGTCCGAAGGTTGCTAGGGGACTTGGACAATGTGCACAACAATCTCGACACTGCATACCTGACAATAACACAGTATCTTCCCTGACGCTGGCAGTGAGTGAGAAACACTCCCACAAGTGCCTCCTGGAACGCCAACCCACGGAGGGTGAGCACTGTAACCGACTTCTTTATCATCGGGGAATGTAGAATTTGGGCAAACTGAGTCATGCCATCAAAACTCCAGGCCAGTAAATGATAGATCATGATCTCAAATCCAGGTCACAAGGCTGTAAGCATGGGATGTTTCCATTAAGAAAAAAGTTTGGCACACCAATATGCTGGGAGTCTAATCTGTTACACTCTTTCAAGCTAACACTAATTTTTACACTTCCAAATGTTTGGGAGAAAAAAACAACCAAGAATATTTGAGGGACATATAAAATTCAAATCTCAGGGGCCAGGGATGTAACTTGGTTGGTAGAGGGCTTTTTCTGAGCTTGCGCAAAGCCCCAGGTTTGTCCTGGTCCTAGCACAGGTCCTAGTACTGCATAACAAAGCATGTTAGCACACACCCCTTATAGCACTTTGGAAGTAGAGGCAGGAAGGTCAGAAGTTCAAGGTCATCCATACAGAACTTGGGACCAGCCTGCACTACATGAGACCCTGTCTCAAAAGAAAATGATAATTCAAATCTTGGTCCATAAGCAGTTTCATTGGCACATGGCATCCCATCTGTGCATGCATTGCCCTGGCTGCTCGGACTCTGGGTGTAAAGAACTGGGTAGCTGAGAGACTGTGCGGCTCACAAACATCTGTACCATTACCAATACTACCATTAAGTATGTAGCCGTACTTTTAAGAATTACACTATTCTCGTGGGTTTTTCTCAGAGAATGATCTCCTTTCCCGGCCCAAATCTCCTGGAGTCACTTCCAGGAAAACATGTTTTTGAGAGTAGGTCATCTAGTCAGGGCTCTCAGAGAGGAGGCTTCCTTTTCCTACACACCCTTCTGGGATTTGACGTCCGCTCGGGAGCAGCTAGAGCAGAACTACTCCTTAACGAGCTGGAAAGAACGGAAAGCGCCTGGCCCAGCAACTGAGTATGACTTCTCTAGTGCCCAAGGGCCTTAAATTCCACAGACCGTTCTGTCCACCGGTGTCCGCTCAGGAGTAGCTGCCAGCACAGAGAAGGACCGGCTGCTGAGGGGCCTCATTTGCTCTTGCTGGTTCCTCTAGTCTGGAACTCTAGATGGATCGACGAGGTGAAGAGGATCCTGGAGCCACTGTCAGTATTTCTGAATCTGGCTCTCTCTGGCCTCTTAGCTAGAAGCTCAGCATGCGGATGACCAGTTGTCCTTCTCTGGGAACTCACGCAGTCTCCGCAAGCTGAAGGGGAGCGGAAGGGTGGGACATGGTTGTTGGATCAATAGCAATGACAAAGCAGACCAAATCCCACTGACGGTAATTTTAGATATGGCTATATTAAAACGTCATTGTCTGGAGTTACAAATTAGACCCACCTTAGTTCTAAGGAAACATTTCTCATACCAGTCAGCCAAGTTCGGTTCTTTCTCTTAACAGTTCTATTTTCTGAGAAAAAGACAGAGAGAGAGAGCATTATATCAAGTCCTCTTATGAATGATTTCCAGGAAATTAGATGGGAAAGAAACTATTCTGTGACAAATCATTGCATGTCGTGTTGTGGACGGACAAGCGACAGATGTGTCCCACATCCCAAACTACGGAGGTAATGCCATCTGCCACAGGGACCACGCCGATCTCCACGATTCTTCAGCCACTCGGAAGATACAACCAGGTCACACAGTCTCAAAGTCCAACACCATGAAACTTAAAGAAATGCAAAAGGAGCCAAACTCCTACTTGGCCTCACTGCCTTAGCAAAAGAAAGTTTCACACAGCCACCTAACTCGTGTGGAGCCGCCCCAGGGAAAGGGAAGCTATGCTACATAAGACTAGCTCGCGAATCTGCTCCTCCGCTGGGAAAGGGAGGGGTGGTTGCGGATGAAATGTACCCATCATGTTCTCTTGGCCCCTCTTCCCCTAGACTGGGATCCTGGTGTGCATGTGGTTGGCAGATGACAATGGCCACAGAGTCAACAGGTATCAGCTTCAGACGTAGACAAGTTTCTACTACCCATGTGTCAGTGCCCACCTCAAGATTAAGGCTCAGCACCCATCATGAAAACTGTGATAGCAATGCCTTCAACCTCTGTAAGACTATGAAGGGCTGCTTTTCTCAGGCGATATAAATACCTGGACCAGCAAGCACTAGTGAATAAATACCCCAACCATCAGAGCTTCTCAGAGTGAAACAGCACTCAGAGGAGCTAGGGCCCCCAGGGTGTCCCAGGAGTCCAAGAGAAGACCCGAGGAGAGGCTGAAAGCCCTTTCGGAGCAAGCCAGTGCTAGATTTAAGGTCATAAAATACAAATAACAGATCAACTGGAACTAGAATCTCAGATTCCCACTGTGCACCATCTAAACCTCTGGATGTTTAGTCAGGATTTTCAGAGAAGGGAGGACAGTGTCCTCAGACCCACCCTCTCTCAGTGCCTCGGTCTGAGAGTGACAATGAGCAACGCCCTCCCCTGCTCAGCTAGGGCAGCCCACACGGCTCACCATGTCCGCCTGCTGAGGCTCTCAGAATGAGTGTCCCCACAAAGGGGCTGCTGCTTGCGCATCTGGACGATGACCCCCTAGAATTGTCTTTCTAAGGACCTGAAATCTTTTAAGAATACTTGGGAGGCGTTCTTGACTCCACAGATCACCTCCTGAGTCAGGAGTGAACTTAGATCTTTGGAGTCTGCCAGGTACCAGGGAACCCTGTCCAAATGTACATCCAATAACAAACTAAAGCAAAAAGGAAGTAGCACACCAAAGGAAATCCCCAGAAGTTCTGATTTCACCAGAATGATTAGCTCTGTGATATCCTGAGTTTCTGCTTCTCTGTTTTTATTACCTATCAAATGCTTCATACTTCAGAAAATTTCACTTTGAGGTTTCACAGAGCTGTGAAGACAGGAAGTCAGTCACTCAGGATACTGAAGTTCCCTTCTGGAGAGCAGAACCTGTCCCCTTTCCACGCAAGTCTCAAAGTTGTTCCGTTGGAACCCACCCAGGTCACAGTATCCACACATTTTCCCTGACAGAGCTGCCAGAGGAGGAGCGTTGTTTAGTTCCCCACTTGAGCAGCTCGTTATCTGACAGGCCCACCTCTTACCGCCAACCTCACTCCTGCTGACTGTATTGGCATCTGACCCCCTGAGATAAAGTATTTAGAACATTCTGATCCTGCCATTAGGCCCCTTGAGCTTACTACTGGTAACTGGACCTCTTTGACCCCATCCCAGCAAATGACCAGAGCAGGGCCAAGCAAGGCCTCGTGCTCAGGGACAAATGCGTTTGCCTGGTTGGGTCTTTCAGTCTTCCCATCATTTGCAGCCTATGATCACCTAGACAGTTTCCAGACTTCTCAGGAAGTCCCGAGGATCTTTGTTCATCCCAGCATACCTTCTCTAAAACCAAAGGCATGCATGGCAGCAGTGCACACACACACACACACACACACACACACACACACACACACACACACACACAGGTTCTGACGTGACCCACATATGTGCCTCCATTGGCAAAGTGGTCTTTTCTCTGCTCACAGCCTGTGCAAACACCCAGCACTCTGGGATGACTGCTACGCAGATTGCTTCCCAGTTCAGTTGCTACCATGGCAACCCTCCATCTGCGATTGAGGACCACTCTTGTGCAGACTGGAGGAGGCTTAGAGGAGGTCCCAGAGGCAGAAACTCTGAGGGCTGATCCACCTGCAGACAGCCTTTGGGGTAGCCCAAAGAAACGAGAGCAGGGCCCAATTCAATGTGTGCTCATTTAGCAACCAAGTGTGGGGTGGTCTAGTTGCACCTTACAGCAGTGTGCCCATAGTGACCACATTGTGTCATACACACACACACACACACACACACACACACACACACCTTGTCTTTTTAAAACTCCAGAAACTACATTCACAGTATCCAATGTCACAGATGTCCAAAGAATTGCCATTCTCTTTATAAGTAAACACTGTCTGCCAAATTAAGACTGGCTCAAAACAAATAATGTTTCAATAATAAGCCTAAGTACAAACAAAAAGCAATAAAAAAAAGTTACTCATATTTGCTGGATACAGTGGTACGTGCCTGTAATCACAGCACTTAGGAGATGAATGGAGGAAGATCAGGAGTTCAAGGTCAGTCTGAGCTACGTGAGCCCTTGGGGGGGGGAGATACAGTTTATTGTTGAAAATCTTATTTCAAGTTAAAGATACTCGCTTTTATCCAGCGTTCAGCGCTCTCGGAATTCTGTTTCTTTTTGAGCTTTCCATTCCCTTCTGGTTTGAGCCTGGGACTGGGCGGCGGGCTCCTGTGTGCTGACTGACATGCAAAGGCACACTTGAGCACCGAAGCGTTCGGCGAGCGAGCCAATCTGGCTGGCCTCTAGAACAGGCTGAAAGGAAGTCAGCTGGGCAGGGCCGATTCCACAGCAATCGCGGAGGACAAGGAAGGGAGAGAACTGGGATATGGTACCGCTTCAGATGAGGGAGGTGTGACATGAGCATCTGCTTTCACAGAGATCTCTGATGCATGCCCACGTGGCTGATCTCCGCACCCAGGGCTGAAGAATGCCCACGCTGCTGATCTCGGCACCCAGGGCTGATGCATGCCCACGCAGCTGATCTCAGCGCCCAGGGCTGATGCACGCCCACGCAGCTGATCGCAGCACCCAGGGCTCACTTAGTAGGCTTGCTATATCTTCAGGGACAGGAGAGGATAAGTGGGAATTTTCCACAGCCCAGACAATCACACCTTAGGACTTGCTCCCAGCGGGTTTTCGAGTTCTGTTACAATGGGCACCAGCACTCCTAGCTTGTTAGCACATGATCCTCCTATCTACATCTTTCCCTCTGCATGCCGTGTTCTCAAGGAATGAAGAATTCGCTGAATGCTGCAGAGTGTGGTGAAATGTTCCCAGACCTTCATAACTAACATACCAACTGGAAAATATCAAACAGTGACACATAAGCACATGTGCGTGAATGCATGCGCATACACAGAGTCCACATTCTTAGACCTGCCAATCAGCTATGACCAAGTCCACATAAGCTCCCAAAAGGTGGGACTGGAGAAGTGGCTCAGCAGCTGAGAGCAGTTGCTGCTCTTCCAAAGGAGTTTGGTTCCAGGGCCCATGTCAGGCAGCTCACAACTGCCTGTAACTCCAGCTCCGGGAGAATGTGACACTTCTGAGCTCTGCAGGCAACTGCAACCATGTTCACACACACACACACACACACACACACACACACACACACACACGTTAGAATAATAAAAGTTAAATCGAAAAGGAAAGGTTTCTGGAAGATTAAACATGAATGAGGGTCACTCTCCAGGTCATCACAGGGGCATTAGCTTTTAGATGACCTCACACATCAGTGGCCCACACACAGGGGAGGCAGGAGGGGATACGAGCTCCCTCCTTCAGTCTTCTGTTGACTGGGAGCTTGGTTCTGGGTCTGCCTGCCCCTCAAATGAGCTATGTGGTCTTAGATGACTCACAGGATGTCTCTCAATGATACTTCTTATTTCTAAGTGGTAAGTTATAACTGTTAGGGACATTTCAAGTTCACAGAAAAATTAAGCAGGAAGTACAGAGCCCCCATGTGCACCATCCCCTCCCTCCATCCCTCCCCCTGACAAGACACACCACTGTCCATTTGTTCTTCTTCATAAGTTCACCCCAATACACCGTTATCACCCACACGTGGAGGTGAAGTTAGGGCTCACTCTTGTCCATGAACATCGAGTGTGTTTGAGCAGCTGTGTAAGGACAGGTTCCCACTGTTGTCGTGTTATTCACGACAGGTTGGCCGCCCTGCAATTCCTCTGCAGCCCTCACGCCTTCCTACTGCCCCTTGCTCCTTCTCAGTCTGCATCGCGAGGCCCCTTCCATAGACTGTGTCTGCAGTCACCAGGGAAAGCCTACTGGAGCTGTACTCTTCCACTTGGTAGTATACACTTCAGGATCCTCCAGTGGCTTCGCGTGGCTTCCAAGCTTGTCCTTCTCCAGTACTGAACAATATTCCATTTTCTGGACATACCAGAACTTATTTAGCCATTTACATACTTAAAGTGTCTTGGTTGCTTGGTTGCCCACCTGTTTAGAGATAAAAAGCATCCGTCTGTGATTTTTATATGGAAATAAGCTTTCAACTCATTTGGGCAACTATTAGAAATTATGATTCCTGTGTTGCAAGGTGAGATACTTCCCTTGTAAGCTGTCTCCCAGGGGGGCTGTACTAGTCTTTCATTCTTCTAGGAATGAGTGACAGCTCTGGCTGCCCCTTCCGGTGTCTGATGGACCTGTGCCCTTCTTACAGGTGTGTAATACTCTGCTATGGCTGTGCACCATGCAAGTAACTATGGCATTAAACACCTTCTCAGAGACCTCTGTCTGTCTGGAGATTGCCATGCTGGGGCATCTCTGCTCCGATCTTTTATCCATTCTGTAGGTGGGCATTTATTTTGCTATTCTTGAACTGCAAAGGCTCTTGGTATATTTTGAATTCTTGTTCTCCATTAGCTGCGACTTTGGCAAATACTCCTTCGCTGCTGGCCATTCTCCGAGAGTGTCTTTTGCTCTGCAGAAGTTTCTTCTTTCCATGAAGTGCAGCCTGGCAACCATCTCTCATGGAATGTCCCTTTGGAGCTGTATCTAGGAAGCTGCCATCACCCCCAAATCACCCAGACCGTCTACTAGCTCCTGGGAGCTTTCTCCTTTTATCTATTCCCCAGATCTATGATGAGTCTGAATTGATGTTTGTTTGGTGTGAGGTTTGTGTTCAGATTCTTTTTTTATCTTGTTCTTGATGTGTCTAACGGTTTGCTGAACTAGCTGGATTGATGCGGCCTGTTTCTGGGCTCTCTAGTCAGGCCTTTCATCTGCTTGCCCACCCAATACCACACCGTCTTGACTGATACAACCGCTTTACTCCCAGTCCTAGCGTTTGGTAGTATCTGCCGTCTGTCTTCGCACAGTTTCTTCAACAGTGAATGATTCATTTTGTCCATTCTGAGTCTTCTGCTTCTCATGTAAACTGTAAAGAGCTGATCTCTACAGATTAACCTACTTGACTTTGGATTGGTATGGTATTAACTCTAAAGATCAAGATAAAAAGAGAAAACATTTTGACAATGCTGGTTTTGTTGTTTATCTGGGTCTTGGGTGTCTTTCACCCCTTTATAGTTTTCCTCACATAGATCTTAACCATGGTTTATGAAACTTATACCCAAGCATATTTATGTCAAGGGCTGCTAGTTTAAATGATTATATTTTTTATTTCTGTTTCTAATCACTCATTGCTGGTGAATAAGAAAACAGTTGGTTTTTGTATACTAATTTGTATCCAAAATCTTTATTTAATTATTTTTTTTAATCTTGGCTTTGCTGAAGTCTTTAGTCTCAAAACTTGGGAGGCAGAGGTAGGTGAGTTCGAGCCCAGCCTGGTCTACAAAGCAAGTTCCAGGACAGCCAGGACTACACAGAGAAACCCTATCTTTAAAAACAAAAATGGGTTTTTTTGGTCACTTCTTAAAGATTTTCTAGAGGTGAGCATCTCATCTCTAAATGATAACTGTTTCTTCCCTCCCAACCTGTGTATCTTTTATTAACTTTTCTTGTCTTATTGCATCATCTATACTTAGAATCACATCAAAAAGCAATGGCTCCCATTCTGGGTCTAACAGAAAATAAGTTTCTGTCAGCTAAGTGAAGTGAAACTAAGAGAGTTTTAAATACCACTGCCCTAGTTCAAGAAATACCAAAAATAAACAAATAGTAAAAATGAAAAAGAAACATCCCTCCAGCCATACTTTATAGAGAGACTCTGTTGTTTAGGACAGTTTTATCAATAACTGCAGAGGCTTAGAGACCAAGATGTACTCCCGTGATAAGTGAGTGAGCAAGCAGAGAGCTCAACAGTGAAGCGTTCCAAAGCTGAAAAAAAAAAATCCACAGAATCATGGAACAACATGGAATAACAAACATTAAGTGAAAATAATTAAGTTAAAAAAAATTCTAAAAGGACCATGCTACTGTGTGATTTCAGCTCTCTGATACCTACTGAGGACTTTCATAGAGGAGGCTGCTTGGGTTTGACGAAATTCTCCCTCCGCATCCAACAATAGCAGCACATATAATGTGTATGACTCTGCCCACTAATGTGGATTACAGGCATTTGTTTTTGAATGTTGAACTGCTTTTCTTATCTGACATAAATCCCACTTGGTTATAGTATATAATTCGTTTTATGCATTGTTAGATTCCATTCGTGAGCTGTTTGTGGTTGAGGCTATTTGGATCTGTGTTCGCGAGAGCTACTGATCTGTAGTTTCATTTACTGAAGTATCTTTTCCTCATTTGTCCTTAGGGTGACGCTGGACTCCTAGTGTGGATTGAGAAGTGTTTCTTCTAATTGCATCCTCTGAAAGAGATTACAGAGAATTGCTATATTTCCCTCCTTAACTGCTTGGAAGACTCCACCAGAATGAGCCCATCTGGACCTAGTGCTTTCTGGCTGGAAAGGTTGTGAATAATTTACTTAAAGTCGGGGCTGGAGAGAGGACTCGGCGGTTAAGCTTGCTTAGTGCTCTGCAGAGGGCCTGGGTTTAGTTCCCAGGGCATATACGGTGGTCCACAGTGCCAAGGGACTTGGCACCTTCTACTGGCTTCCACGGGCTACCGCATGTGTGTGGTGCGCATAAAGCCATGCAGGCATTCACGCTCGTACACATAAATAAAAATAAACTAAGTTTTAAAGTTTCTAATGTACAGACCTTTGGGATCATCTGTTTCCTCCCACGTGAGCTTTGCCAGATTGTATGTTTCCAGGAATGAGTCTACTTCACTCAAACAGAGAGTGTGGAAACATGGATACATCCTTCCGTGTCTTCTGTGTCCATAGGGTCTGTAGCTATATATGACCTTCCATCCATTCTGCAGTGGTTTCTAGTTCTCTCTCTCTCTCTCTTCAACTAGAAATTTAATTATTTTATTTTATTTCAGAGAACTGGTTCTTGGGCTCTTGGTTCCATGAGCTTTAGTTGACTTCCTGTTCCCAGTTTTGTCAGCCTGGGCCCTTCTTTACTACCCTGCTTACTCTGGATTTAATGCACTCCTACTTAGATGACTGATTATAAATTTCTTTTCTGCTTGATGCATTTGATGCTATAAATTTGTGTTCAGGTTCTATTTTTACTTCATGTCTAAAATTGTGATTTCATCTTCACTTAGTTCAAAGTATTTTTTTTTAATTTCTCTTGAGATTTTTTTTCTACACCCCATGTTACTGCGAATTGTGTTGTTTAATCTTAAAGTGTTTAAAGATTTCCCGGGTCTCTTCCTATTATTGATTTCTAGCTTACGTCCACTGTGCTCTGAAAAGGAACACTACAGAATTTTTATAGTCTTGATGTGTTAAGGTATCCTAACGGCTCAGAACACAGTGTCCTGATGAAAGCTCTCTCTGTCCCCGACAAGAGTCTGTCAACTGATGTTCAATTCCTCATTTTCCCAGCCTCTGTTTGACCCTACCATCTGTCTCTATGATTCTACGTGAGTTCCTAGTTACATCCCCATCAGTCGAAGTCTGCGGCACTATTAAACAAACCCATGGTCCCTAACTGAGTCAACTTTTAACTTTGGAAATTCTTCCTTTGTAAATTCAGCTACCCAAACTACTCCTGTCCCCAGCTCTCCTCCACCAGCCATACCCCCTCCCCTCTCCTACCGCTCTAACCCAGGTGGCAGATAAGCAATTAGGAGCACTGTGATCTCCACCAAAGTAGGAAAATGCTTCACGGAAGGCCAGCATCATTGACATAAAATAAACACACGCCTGCACATTAGACAAGAAAATCATCCAGGGGATGGAAGAGACAGCTCAGTTTTTAAGGGCACGTGTTGCTCTTGCAGAGGACCAGAGTTTGGTGGCAGGCATCTGAGTCAGGAGACTCACAATAACCTGTCACTCCAGCTGTAGGGTTTCCGATGCACCTGAGCAACACACGTGACCATTCTAACACAGATACCTATTAATAAAGGTCATTTTTTTTAAGTAACCCAATACTGGCATGTTACTGGCAAGCTGATTTCATCGTGACTCCAGCTCTGCACCCCTGGAAACACACAAGGAGGAACTTCACCAGAGCTGTTGGGTCTAAACCAAACGCACAGCAGAAGCTGAAACCTTGGGAATGCTCAGTAGCCCTGCTGCATTTTAGCTGTAACACGCGTTGGCAGCATTGCTTATTTTCTGCCACGTTTTAGTTGTTTACCCAAAGCAGAAGGAAGGAAGAAGTCCTTTTCATTATGGATTTAAGATGACTTGTATCTGCCTTTCCCAGCAAAGGGCCAGAGGTTTGCGTGCTGAGTAAAATAGGAGGCTTCTCTGTGAGCTAGGATAGGAAAGAAACTATTCTGAGAAGTTCACTAGTTCAAAAGCCCATTGCCAATACCAACATTCTTTTATCATGGTTCAATGAAACTGAGGATAAGACTGAGTCCCTAGTCCAAAGGTGTCTTGTGCTTCCATGGGCCATGAAGCTCTCACCAAACCATCACACAGACCTATCAAGACAAACCCAAGGAGCCCTGGAACTGGCTCTGTGGCTGAGGTGTCATGAAGTCCCCACTGGAATCCATTTCTAAAGAACACAAAGGGCTGGGGCCGTGACCCAGGGGCCAAGAGGATTCAAGTTTGGCGCCCACCACCCACGCAGGGCAGCTCGCAACCCCAGAGGATTGGCCCCCTCTTCTGACATTCTTAGGCACCCACACACAAGTAACACACACTCACACAGACACGCACCCATACATACAAATTTAAATTAAATTTTAAAATGTCTTAAGCAAGCATAACACACTCCCAAAAAAAGTAGGAACACAAATAGACTTAGTCTTCAACTTTGCCTCCAGCAGTTTTCATGAAAACTCGAGTTTCTAATAAAATGCTAATGTCCTACAGAGCAGGCTCTCATTTTCAGGTGTATGACACTCTTCAAGGCTGAGGGTGTGCCAAAACTTGCTTTTGTCCTACAAGATCCAGCAGCTTGCTAAAGTTAGACAAGGACAAGGCTCTACACAAGGCATTCTGGTCATGGACACTCGGCCAGCGCTCCGCTGTTCCGTGAGCAATGTCTTAAGCAAGGTACCCTGAAGGATACTAATAAATAGTAACCTCCTCCATTGTCTACAACAAACACCACCCATGGCCACCAGCTCCTACTGTGTGACCACACAAAACCCTGATATTAAATCCTGATCCCCGTATCACACAAGAGCAAGTGAGTCTAGTTTTGGCGATAAAATACTTAATCGGAGGGGCAGCTTTAACACGTTGAGTGGAATTTAAAGACAGCAAGCCAGTCTCTATAAACAGTCAGCAACAGGATCGCAAGGCAGGAAGGGACGTACCTTGATATTTCTTGAGGCCTCAGCGGGCTTTCCAAGGGGAACCGCTGTCGTAATGAGGAGCCAGATTGAGACGTAAAGACGTGCTGCAGGGGAGGGGTCCAGGAAACAGTGCCTAGGCCTATACAGGGTAGGTGACCTCCCAGGGGATTTGGTAAAAATACGTTGTGAAAACTGGTGCTAAATTGTAGATGATCCTGAAGAGACAGTGGAGGGACACAGACGGGCTTATTAACAAAGCCATCATAGCGTCTTTACGTCTCGTCTTTACGTCTAAAGCGTCTCGTGACGCTTTACGGTTGAACAAGAGGACAGTTTCCACGGAACCGAGGCAGGATGGTCTTGGCACAACTGTCCAAACGCTCCCAAATAATTCAGGGAATCTGTTGGGGGAAAAAAGCAGGAAAAATTGGAATTTCAGAGGCATGTGATAGTAAATTCTAAGGCCGGCAAAATCCTACGCAGAGAACCCTGGGCACCCCCTGGAGCTTTCTTTAAGCAAAAACCAATGATCTTTTAGAAATGCACAGAAAAACACAGGGAGAAAAATCTTCCCCAGAAATCTCCCGTGAAGGCTTCAACTTTTCTTCGCAGTAAAGTACCTGATACCTGCTTCTGAGGTCATTGTTGCCAACCTCCTGCCAAGCTTTTGAAAAGCGAAAGCCAGGCAGACCTCAGGCCCTGGTTTGGCTCCTGACCCACACGTCCATCCTTTTGTAACTCCCTCTACTCAACTCCAAGTCTGTCTGCGCACGGGCAACGAGGCGAAAGCATGCTAAATGCGAAAGCACAAATTATGTATTGAGAAATCTCTACAATGCCAAATTTTTTTAGAATAAATATATATATATATATATATATATATATATATATATATATATATATATATATTTAAGAACTCGCTGTGTTAGGGAAACTGTTTACATATTGAGGCGTTCCTCTTTTTTTGATTGGAATAATAAAAGAATAATTTGATATGGCCTTTGTCTCTTTTAAACGTGTGTGTGTGTGTGTGTGTGTGTGTGTGTGTGTGCGCGCGTCAACCTATTCTACAGGCAGAGGAGGGAATTCATCTCAGAGTTCAAAGAGCTGCCTTGGGGGGGTCACTCAAAATGCGGACCTTGCACCCAGAATACAATGACGGCGTGGTAATTGTACAGTGTCTCTGCATCACACTGCCCCCATATTTTCCTTTTCCCATCATTCTCTCTGCCTTGTGATGCCTCTTCGGCATACTGCACTGGAATGCACCAAGGCGTTCTCTCTCCCTCTCTCTCCCTCTCTCTCCCTCTCTCTCCCTCTCTCTCCCTCTCTCTCCCTCTCTCTCCCTCTCTCTCTCTCTCTCTCTCTCTCTCTCTCTCTCTCCCTCTCTCTCCCTCTCTCTCCCTCTCTCTCCCTCCCTCTCCCTCTCTCTCTCTCTCTCTCTCTCCCTCTCTCTCCTCTGTGGGGAATGAAGTATTCCACAGACACTCAGACACTCACTCACTACTGAGCTCACTTGTGCATTAAACTGCAGACGCCGCTCACCGCCAGCCAGGAACTATTATCTAGTATTTCCTCGCACCTTCCGCAGACAGCTATCTACCCACAGCGTGTGCCTGACATTTTGACATATGCCGGGTCCCTCAGGTCTGCATACGCCCCCTGAAGGGTAGACACCTGGGAGGACGTCTGGACAGGAAGCACTCCCATTGGACAGGAAGCATTCGCTTTGGTGATGCTGTCCTGAGCCACATCACACAAACACATCTTTTCACAAGCTTGCTAGCCTACTGTATCCATCAGACTTGGTGCCGTTATGACAGAATTCTCTGACACAGAGGGCTTGTGGGACACAGGTGCTCACAAATATGTCTGTCTGTATTCCCCGCTCTGACAGCTCTGGGCCTGTGCTGAAACCTGTGATCATGGTGCAGGGAGTCACAGAGGCTCTCCTCACTGAAGAGGAAGCAGAGAGAAGGGAGAGATACAGCCTCCAAATACACCCTTGGAAACCTACTTTCCGACTCTCAGAACAGCGCTACCAGCTGGGGTCCAGGGTTCATCGCAGGAGCAATGGGGGCTTTTATATGTCACATACAACACACGATCTTTCTTCCCTGTCTTGGCTCTCCCTACTAGCTGCTTAGGTTACAGTTTTCTTCTACTAGAACTCTATATACTCTTTACTCTCAAATTTTGGGCTAACTCTGTCTCCAGAAGAGACTTCCCGAAGACCAGGCTATCCCAAAGGCATGCATTGCTGGGGCCACTGTGAATGCATCTTAGGTCTGCTGTGGGAACTCCTTCAGTCAATAGCCTTTAAGAAACCAGCCCACTTGGGCGTGGTCTCTTACACTATAAATGCAGCTGTAAAG